AAGAGCTTGAACTGTTTTCTTCCCCAAAGATGCACGATTTGAATCGATTACTCTTCCTCCAGCACTAAATGAGACTTTCAGCATGCTCAAGAGTTGTTGAAAGGCTGAGTTGTTTCTGTCCTTTCTCAAGGAGCGTTGAGGGTTTAAGGGGACACACCAAAAGATGTCTAGCCATTGTTGTTGTAGCACCTCAACTATAAGGTGGGTAACCCTTCTTGCAATATTTGCACTGATTCATCTTTTTGGCCCCTAATTCTGTTTGCAACACCTGAAAGTGATTCCAAACTTCAGAAGTCTTTGCCCTCTTAGCTTTTTCATACGGATTTCCTGGATCATTCTGCTCAGATGCTTGGGCTTTAGTGGTGTTTGCTCTATTAGCTTCATCACCCCCCACAGTAGTGTTGGAAGCATGTGCAGGGATGGAACTCGAGTTAGTGACCGACTCAATTGGGTTTGAAGACATTTTCTTCAGAGAGCTGCTCAAAAGTACAAGAATATGTCGTCAATAAGTGAATCCATTCCGAATACAGGCTAGGAAGCAAGACTAGTTAAATAAAATCGTGAAACCCTACCTTATAAAAAAAACGTAAAACCCTAGATTTGAAATGAAAAACTCAAAAGAAAATCAAAATAGACTATGGAAATCTAATCCATTAACTTACACTGGGTATAGAAGTGGTTGATCCTCTGGCGAATGTTGGCGACTTGCGTTCAGTGGTTGACGAACAGAGAGAGATTCACGTTTTAGATGAAAGAAGAAGTTTCAAGATTCGGCTGTTTACTGATAAAGGAGATTCGGACTATGAATAGTAAGAAGGAGAATCGAGTTACCAAGAAAATGATTCAGGGCATATTTGCGCTTTCACCGAAGGGAGGGCAGAAGAGGCGGAAGAGAGAAATGCGACAGAACCCTCTCTCTGATCTCTTTGTTTTAGACTTTAGAAGCTTCAAAAGGAATTGCCAGTGAAACCCTAATCCTTTTCCACATTGTTTATTTGTCTGATCTCACTTACCACTATTACATAATATTAGAAAATGAATTGCCACCTACTTTATTATGATAAACAAAGACATTAAATGCATTATACATTATTATTTATATAAAGGATGTAAACCCCAATCCCTAAACGTGAAACTCAAAAAAGACGATTGCTTATTATATACCAAGCAAAGTAACCCTGCATCTAAATCATATTATAGTTATGCAATATAAAAAAGTTAAAATATAATTTTCAAATACAAAATCAAATGTGATAAGTCAATATATAGTTATGCAGTATGAAAACGCAATTTAGACCACGAATTTGCAGGATTTTTGTGCCTAATAATATACCATAACCTTTAATGGGTGAACCCTAGGTCCTAATTATCTAAATCATAAACTATAAACCCTAAGATGGTTCATTCATTTTTTGCCTATATTTGGACGAATCACAACCGTCGATTATTGTTTCTAATTAAATTGATCTTGGGGTATAAGATTTAGAGAATTACGACCTAGATTTTGATCTTTAAGGATAAGAGTATAATATCATCTCCGAAAGTTTAGTCTATTCAAGGTCTGGATAACGTTTTCATACTCAAGATATGCGGTACCCCGAATTTCACCCCGAGTACCGTAGAACTCCCATATATATATATATATATATATATATATATATATATATATATTCCTTACAAATCATATGATATATAGTAGTGTAAGCAAACTCGCATATTATAATATATATATATAATAAATAGTGTAAGCAAACACTCAAATTGTCTTATGATAAAAACTATGTAGATTAATGATCTAAAAAGTTATTAGTAAAATTAACCCACAAGTTAATTGAATTTTATCAGTAGCTATAATATGGAGTGGTTTGTGATCTTCAATCGAGCTTACTCGCGAGCTATACTATCAAGTTGGCTCGTGAGCTACAAATATCAAGTTGGCTCGTGAGCTTTAATTGAATTGGCTCACGAGCCAAGCTCAACGAGCCATCGAGTCGAGCTAGCTCACGAGCCTGGTGAGCTGAACAAGACCTGGCTTAGGCTCGGCTCATTAGTAAACGAACGAGCCAAGCATCGAACGAAGTTTCTTCTAGCCGAGCATCGAACGAAGTTTCTTCGAGCCGAGCACCGAGCCGCTCGTGAACAGCTTGGCTCATTTGCGGCCCTAGTTAGGACTTAGGTGATTTGCTTCTTGATCTTTTATCATTTGTGTTTTGTGTTTCTGTTACTTCTGTTTACTATTGGTAAGCCATGATAGCAGTTAAATTCTTTTTTGTTTCTTTTTTGCAGCTCTGGTCTTTGAGAATTATAATGATTTCTGGTGTGGGCCAAAAGAATCATGGGAACAATGGACTTGCATTTTTGTAACCCCAAATTAATTATTCTCTTTTGCAAGCACCATGTCTCTTGCCTGTAACTTGGAATTCGAAAAAGATTAACCTTAGTTTGGACTAGGGAGTTAATCTGATCTGTTAGTAATACTATTCTTGTCATGTTCTTCATTCAAGTTTTACAAATGTGAGGATTGATTGACACAATTGAAAGCAATGGAGGGTAAAAGAGTTTGTCCCCTTAAGCGACAATATATTTGAAGTTCAAATAATCAATATACTACAATAGATAGGATTGATTGAAAAATAATCAATATACTACAATCTATAGAACTAATCCCAAACAAACATATAAAGATTTTTACATCTAACCAACACTAGGGTTTAGTTCAGAGAGAGAAAGTGTACATAGGGGAAGAAGAACACCAATCTAAAGCTAGATTCATCTTCTCTTTCTTACCTTGGTCACCCTTGTTGAATCTGGGAAGAAATTGGGTTGATTTGGTGAAGAAATCTCTCAAGAAGCCTCCAAGCTTGTGTCTCTCCCTCTAAATCTACCCAAACTCTTGTTACTCTCCATAGGATGCCTTCCTTCACACTAAAACATACCCCTTCTATTTATAGATTGGGAAGGACAAGATCGTAGCCTACTAACCAAAGTTCATGACCTGGATCTTTTGACTAGAGGCGGGGAACTCTAGGAAGGACAAGTTCTTTGCTATTAACTTTTGACAAGAGGTACTGAACTTGAGTTCATGGCCAGAGACCAAAGATCACGGTTGTGGTCTTTTTCTCGCGACCATGAACATTTTCTCGCAGTTTGGCTTACCATGGTTGTGAGACCTTCTATACTCATCTTTGGCTGCCCTTAGGAGTGTTTGACCGTGAACTTGATTCTAGTCTTCTTTCCACCTTATTTTCACCCTTCAAATGACTTTCGATTGACACGAAACTTGGTACACCCATTCCTTGTCATCTATTAGTTATCTTTCAAAATATAATTAAGTAGTCTATTTCAAACACTTTGTTTATAAAATTTTAAAACAATCTAGCAAAGTTTGCTGACCTACAAGTTAAAAAGTGGAAAATGAAAAATTAGTTTGGAGGTTGGACAATAGGACATAGCGGTCATCAACAAATAATATAAAATGAAATTATATTTATATATGTATATATATTGAAGCGAGTATTTGAAATCACTAATCCAATCTAATTTACCAGAGAAGAAATTCAAAAAATTCATAACTCAAATCCAATTAGACATAATTAGACAGCTGATTTGTGGCATGAAATTTTTGAATTGTTGGAAAGTTGATGTTTAGTAGCTATAATTTATACGTGTTATAATTTGATATATAAATTTTAAATTTTAAGCTTAATCCAAAAAATCCCTACTAATTGATCAATCCAATATATTTGACCACCTTTAACCACAAATCCCGACGCGAAGCGCGGGCAATGAAAACTAGTTGAAAGAAAGAAACCCGCCACATGCCCTGGTACTGTACACGCAGACACCTTTTACTGTCCATTGTGACTGAGATTTACTGTTTCAAACTGGCGTGTCCTTCGGTGTGGGCTGGAGTTGGGTGAGGTCTCTTTGACTTCTGGCGGGAGTTTGGCAGCTTGGTTGGGGTGGGACTGGTCGTTGGCTTCTGATTGGCCTTCTTTGGGGTCGTTTGGTGGCTCCGACGCGCGTTGGTCATCATCAATAGGAGGCTTTGGCCCAACCGGGTCCGTAGATCGAGGCTTATTGGGTTGCTTAGCGTGTTATGTTGGGGAGAGATCATTGAGTAGTGGGAGATCTAGCGGTCTCGGGGAAGTGTGGGTGAGGTGACATGTCTGAACAGTTGAGAGTGGGTCGTTCGAGAGACAGAAAAGGGTTCTTCAGATACAAAGTGAAACCTTGACAGGACTGGGCTTTTTCTCTGGTGTATGAAAAGACTGCATTTTGGTGTCTCAGGGAGAAGCTGGGAAGTCTTCGCATTGTTCGACGCAGAGAGAGGCGGGAGAAATAGATAGATGGGTTGATAGTTGATGAGTCTGGGTTTTTGGGGAAAGTATTGAAGTGACCGAAATCTGTAGGAACAAATATCGATTTATTTGTGCCCACTCATCCAGCTACCCTCGCTTCTTTCTTTTTAATATTTTGTTTGAAGGCCAAAATATATGAGCGAATCTCTCTTAAGGTTCTCTCTCTGTCGCTCTCTCTCTTCTCTCCTCTCAACCCCACTATTGCGAGGAGGTCTGTCAGAATTGCTGAGATCGTCGACGGATCGCCGGATTTGCTCTCTCTGATTGATGAGATTCGACGGAGGTCTTGCAGTCGCGACCAGGCGATCCATGCCAAGTATTCTCCTGGAGGAATGCTAATATCTCTTTGTGGGTGCAAGCTTGATGATCGTGGATGAAGAAGATGGAAAGAAGGGTTGCAATATTTTGTTTTTAATTTTCTTTCTGGCCTTTTCGGGTTTATGAAGGTGAGGGGGGAGTGTGTGCATCCTCAGAGAGATGAAGAAAGGGAAGGGATTTTCCCATGGATATTTTTGGGAGTTTGTTTGCAGATTTAAGAGCCCATCTACTTTATGTCTTTCTCTGATTTCATTTTTGGAGGATCAAAGAGACCTTCCTCTCTCCACTCTCCTTCTCACACTTATCTCTGCTTCGTTTCTCACATCTCCTTTCCGGAAATCACTAACTTGGAGTGATCAACGGGAGAAGGAGGCCGAGAGAGGACCCGGGGGAGAACCAGATCCGCAAGGTATGTTTTCTCTGTTTAGATTAATTTTTTCTCTCTTTACTTGGATGAGTTCGATCTCTCTTTCTCAACATGTGATTTTTTAATCTCTCTCAGAGGAGTTGATCTGCACTGAGTTCACAACCAGGGAGGTCATCGAATTCCAGCATGAAACCAGCAATCTAAAGAGATATGGTTTGGATTGTAGATCACCGTTAGAGACGACGCACTGGGGGCGACGAGATCGATCGACGGGAACCAGTTTGTCAACCCTGATAATTTAAGGTGAGAATATGATTTTCGTCTCTCTCATCCGCGATCTTTAGTTGCATATATTCTTTTAACGCTGGTCTCCGATTTTTCTTCTCCTGTTCATCCACAGTTTCTCCCCTATGAAGGCTCTTGGCAGTTTGTATGCTCAGACAATTAATTATTCAGGGGAGATTCATGAGAGATCGATCACCTTCCCAACTCAGATGTGCTCTGATTCTCGGGGCTCTCTCATATCATGATTCTGTTCTTGAAGGTTTGTTTTTATATATATTCTAATTCTCGGATACACAAATCTTTGGGTTTTAACTTTTAACGCATTTCCCCATCTCTTTTGCAGAAACCAGCGTAACTTTGTGTAACAAGTTGCCAGTTTTGTGCGGTCCTGTAAGGAATATGATACCCAGGTTTGATGGTTTTTGTTGTCGGATGATTCATCCTCCCTATCTACCATTGATTTGTTCTCTCCATCTCTTTCTCTGTTAAGCATTTGTTTTGTCGCTTTTGAATAAAATGGCATCAATGAGTTTACAAGAGTATGACAACTGTAGTTTCTAGGCAAAATCCACCTAGACCACTGGCTACCTGGATGGCGATCCGTGATTCGCTGATGGGCGTTCTCGCAGTGATGAATGCAGCTTCGGCGTTTCAAAATACCAATGATCATTTATGTGTTTCTGCTCTTTTTTTTTCTTATTTTGCTCTTGATTGTTCCTATGCTTCTCTGCTAGAAAATGGTGTTGAAAATTGACATCCACGATCATGTGGAGTAGAAACATTGAAGCCTTTTCCCTAAGTAAGTTTCAGGTTCCGCCTATGTTGTGTTTCCAAATCCTATTAATTTTATTGACGTGCACTTTGATTGTATTCTAAACCCAGATCTTCCAGTATTGTAGTGATTGATTGGATCATGGTGTATATGATAGTGGGGAACCTTACCAAGATCATAGGTTTTAATCCAGTTAAGTGGTTACCTAATGTTATTTACCACCCTCTGATTGGCATGCAATCGGAAGTAGTCACTTTCGTGATTTACTACTTAGGATTTTTCTTTGAAAAATCCGATCGGTGCCTCACACGCAAACCTTTGTAAAGCTACAACCCACTTTATTCAATTGTAAAAGCATACGTTGTGGGAAAGCACAAAGTCTAGCTTCATTCAATCGAACTACAACTATAAATCCAAGTTTGCACACATACAAACCTATCTAGGATCACTAGTCATGCACATTCCTCTAGTCACATCGGGAAATTAATCCATCCAAACATCAAATCGATTCATCTATAGCGATACACTCGCCTCATTACCTCATTCTTAAGCAATCAAGTGAGATATATTTAAACCAACAAAACGAATTTTAAGCAAAGTGGTTGCTCGTAGCCCTCAAATTTGAAACTTTTGGGTGTATATACAAGGCTCCAAGTAGTCATAAATATGCAATCATCATTATTCATCATCACCACAGAAGGCAAGCAAAACATACAATCCATTCACAATTAATGAACTTTTAGCATATGGATACATACAAGCATTTGTAAACAAGTATTCTAAACACCCCCATCCACCCACACACACTTAAATCACACGTCGTCCCCAACGTGCACATGACAAGGTTTAAGTGAGTAGAAACAAGTTTACCTTTATGTTCAATCGGCGAAAAAGGTGAAGGAAGTCATATGAAGGTTTGTTTATGATGCATGGAGTGGGGTAGATCATGAATCAAGAAAAGGAGACACACATTCACGATATACTTATTTACAAATAAGCTAGAAAGCATAATAATTTAAAAGAAAAAAATTAAACCGAGGTTGGGTTGCTTCCCAACAAGCGATTTTTATGGTCATAAGCTAGACAGTTGTTTTCAAGTCTCGCTCCACAAGACCTCCTTCAAATTGAGGTTCTCGTTGGTGATGTGAAGTCTCAAGTTCTGAGCATTTGGTATGACCATGATTGAGGGCTCTTGGACATGATTGATCTTGAGGCTCCATCGTCCAGACCTCTTGTTTCCTTCTTCATTCATCTCTTTTCCCCAAATAAGTCTCTAGAAGACACGTCAATCCCCAATCTATGCTTTCATAGGGTAAGGAAAGAAGAAGGTTGATTTTTATTTATGTAATAAGAGCAGGATAAATGGTTATTAACCAATTTGGACTAAAAATACAACAACCACAATAATACATTGTCTAACCCTATGCAAATATCATCTTTGATGCAATACCACAGGCTAAATGCTATGGTATTGTGAAACATGGTAATTATCAACAAATAACACATTTACACAATATGCATTCCAAATGACCCATTATCGTCAGTTGAGGTGTCCTTCTCAAGCATATTTTGTAAGCGAAGTGCTATCTTGGAGAAGTCTTAGATGAATTAAATATGGAATCCTTCGTTACCTCGAAAGCTCATATGATCTTTATAAAAGTGGGTGCAGGTAGATTAGAGATCGTCTCAATCTTTGCACGGTATAACTCGATCCCTTTTTAGCAATTTTATATCCTAAGACAATCCCTTTGATCACCATGATGTTGATTTTCTCCCAAATTAGGGTGAGGTTGGCCTCTTCATAACGAACTATATCATTCTATATGTTATCTAGACACTTGAAAAAAGAGTCATTGTAGAGCGAAAATTCATCCATGAAAACTTCCATTATGTCCTCCAAAAGATCTCCGAATATGTGCATCATGCAACTTTAGAAGGTGGTAGGAGGGTTACACAAGCAAAAATGGGATTGTTGATAGGAAAATATCCCATATGGCCCTGCCAACATGGTCTTCTCTTGGTCTTCGGGAGCTATAGGCATATGGAACTACCCCGACATCTCATATAGAAAGCAGTATTAATCGTGACATATTATAATGTCAATCATTTATCGTTGAAAGTGAGAGGAAAATGGTCATTTCTATTCAATGCAGACTTGCCATACCGTAACGGTGGGGGTGGCAATGAGGTCTCCTCCATCATTAGGTACCAAAATCATACATCTCCAGTGTGGAGGAGAACGGGGAGGAGCTACTGCAACACGACAAGAAGCATAACTTTTTCGACCAACAACAAGAAAAACAATGTCATTGAATAAGGACCGCTTGAGGTTCAGGGGAGCCCACAACTCAACAAATTGATTCCCTGAGCATAGATAATTAGTGGATGTTTGATTATGAATATGTTGTTTCTTCTTCTTACTTTCAACCATTTGAAAACCTTTAGAGTCTACCTGGGCTTGAACTATAGAAATTTCCACTACTAGAGACTGTACTAGAGGGCCAGAAACTAATATTAAGTTTTCTAGCACTGCTTCCAACTGAGGATGCACCACTCCATCCTTCCCTTTAAAATGATTAGGCATTACTAATACACAACGCCGATCGTAGTCTAAAGTCTTAACCACCAGATACATAAGAACCCACACCTTCTTAACCTTCTATTCATCATGCAAATGGAAATCATGCGCAAATAGCCAATATTCAACACAAACCCTAGTAAGATTACAATTCTCCATAACTACTAGCAACTCCGACATACCATCAGGGGAGAGGCTAAGCTTATAACCACCCCTCGACTTAGCACGTGACTTAACACATATATTTGCCAACTTAATCTCATCCCCCGCCTTGTATGATGGTTTATACAAAATGACATGCCCAAAAAGCTAGCAATTCTTCCTAACCCTTCTTTCATAATTGACCACTGATTTCTTGATCTAGAAAGCTCCTATTGATGATGGATTAGAATATTCCCCCTATGATACCAAACAGTGAAGCTTAGGAGCGATCATCACTGACGCCGCGTGTAGGGATGGCAATTTTGCCCATACCCATTGGTATTTTACTATCCAACCTAATTGGGTTGGGTATGAAATCCAAATATATGGATATGGGTAAAGTTTGATGGGTTTGTACCCATACCCATTTACTTTGGGTTGGGTTGGGTTTATAACAAATGGATTTGGGTTTGTACCTCTGCCCAAATACAAATTACATTTTGGTACCTAAACTTAATAGATATGCATATTTAGTACCTAAATTTAATTTTTTTGCATATAAGTCCTCAAAATATCGATGGAAAATTACGTTTTGGTACCTAAATTTTTTTGGTCTTACATTTTGGTACCTAAAATTTTCAAGTTTTACAAATAAGTCCAATTTTTGCATGTGTAGTTAAAACACCCTCAAGTAAATGGATATCCATATCCAACCCATACCCATTTAGATAATATCCATATCTAACCCAAACCCATATACAAATCTCAAACCCATACACACATCACCCAAACCCTACCCATAATAAATGGGTCTACTTGGGTTTGGGCAAAATTACCCATGGATGGGTAAATTGCCATCCCTAGCTGCGTGTAGGGGCTCCATCGGTGCGATCGCCATAGGGAATGGAACAGATTCATGAATAAGCAGGCAAAAACGAATAAAAGAGAGAAAGAAGAGAGAGGTAATTTAAATTCACTTGTGGATCTACTTTTTTCCTTTGTCCATAATTTTATTTTTCTTTCTTCTTAATCTGTTGCTCCTTGGAAATATTTGGTTGTGAAATAAAATAAGAGAGGATGTATTCATAATTTTAGAGCTTGGAAATGACCAATCCTTCAACACTACTTCAAACAAACAAATAGGGCTAGAATTGAAGGAATTTCAATCCCTCGTCAAACAGTAGATGATGCACGAGTTTGGATCTATGAAAAAACAAGTCTTTACTTAGTAAAAATGACTTACATGCTAATCTACAAGGAGATGGAAAACATAAAGGATGATAAAATGCCAGTAGTTAGGAATAAAGATGAGAATGTAGAAGGGCAAGTGGAGGCTTATGATCCGATGAATTGGAAACGAAAGTGGAAGCTGGTCCTCCCCCCAAGCTAAAACTTCCCTATGACGGGTAGTGCATTACATTTTGTCAATAGGGAAGAATTTAGAAGGGAGAAAAAGGATGCAGCTAAGGAATACCCTTTCTGTAATCAAGAAGAAACACATAATGACAATTTCATGGAGTGTCGATGGGCAATCAGAGTCTGGCGACCAACTATCTTCATACTATTGTTTGAGTTAGAGCCTAACCCAATGGTGGGAAGTTGGATCTATGAAGTGATGGAGAAGGTTGACGATGACAGGGATGATCCGATGTATGATGTGGAATGAATGCAACAATCAAATGTTTAACAAAAAGAAGTAAGAAGAATGGGAGATTGTTGGCAAAACTTTAGAATTTTGGGAAGAGTTCAATTCATACACATAGGAGAAACTAGAGAGACCAATGGATGCTCATATCTGGGAAAGACCTCCACCAAGATG